TCCTACAAATATCCCCATCCAAGCCCACCTCCTCCACAAAGTCTTTCTTGATGATACCAGTGCCGTTATAAGCGCTCATTTCTCTAAATGCAAAATTGAGTATCATTTGGTATGTTCATCTGAGTTGTCTCGAAATCAGTTTCTTTGAGACCTAGCAAATATTTACTAAAATCTGCTTTATTGCTTTCAGTAGCTTTTCTCTCCAGCAGTGTTTTATAAGCATATAACATCTCTAAATCAAAGGTTAACCTTTCAAAGCAATGTTAACTGCAGTTAATACAAGTGCTTAAAATCAGTGTTTTCCATTTATCTATATTCTTACAACAAATGGAAGGGAAATAATTAAGATAGTAAAACTAATTCCCTAAGACGCACATTGAAATTTTATAAACACATTACATTTAAAAAAAAACAAAACAAAAAAAACACTCGTTGTTTAGTCAATTCCAACTCATAGCAACCCTATATGCGACCCTATTTAAGTAGAGCTAATTAAAAACTGATAGTTTACCAGTATTTCAAAATAATAATTTTAGCTTACTACCATTTTTTGACTCATACTTATTTTAGGTTACCCTATGATACAAAGTAAATAAGTCTGTACCTTAAGATATAAAAATAAATATAAAGACTGTAGATAATCTAGTTCTGAAATTATAATTCACAGAATTTAAAATCCTTTGGAGACCTCTAGTGGTCGAAAAAATAATACAAAAATATCCTAATATTTTAAGATGGTGGTATGTATGTATTATTCCAAGCCATTCTTTTACCTTTTTCATGTAGCTTTAACATATTATTTCTTCAATTTCAAACATACAACACTAACTGACAAAAACTGTAACTTATTTTTACCAGATTTACCGCAGAAGAAAAAAGCGGTTTTAAATCTAAGACACAAGAATTTACTTATCACTACATTTAGAACCAACGAAGGTACTACCAAGAACAAAACAAAAAAAATTGTCTACTTAAAAATTCAATACTAAATTGTTTACTGGTAGTAAATAAGGAAAAGATTTTGACGAGCTATTTTCTTTATACATAATTAAAATCATTCCTTATGTTCCTTTTTTTCTTTCTTTCTTCTTTTTGTTCCCCCCCCCCCCCGATATGGCCAGGAGTTGTTTCTCAAGTTAATAAAAGACAAGTTTTACGGATGTTAAAATGGAACCACTAGCATTTAGGCAAAAAATTAAATTAGGGTCATACCGAACACCAAAACCAAAAACCAAACCTGTTGCCATCGAGTCAATTCTGACTCATAGCGACCCTACAGGACAGAGCAGAACTGCCCCATAGAGTTTCCAAAGAGCGCCTGGCAGATTCGAACTGTTGACCTTTTGGTTAGCAGCCGTAACTCTTAACTACTATGCCACCAGGGTTTCCATACCTCACACAGTAAAGCAAAATAAAGAAAAATGAACTAAAGAGTTAAATGCTAAAAATTCAATTAAACTAAAAATAAGACAAAAGAAAAAATAAATCAACTAACATAAAATACGGAAACCCTAGCGGCGTAGTGGTTAAGAGCTACGGCTGCTAACCAAAGGTCGGCAGTTGGAATCCACCAGCCTCTCCTTGCAAACCCTATGGGGCAGTTCTACTCTGTCCTATAGTGTCGCTATGAGTCAAATTGACTCGATGACAACGAATTTGTAGTTTGTTTTTCGTTTTTTTATCATTAAATATATTCTTGCAAACCAACCTCATTTGTCTCTCAACAATGGCCCTCCTTATTTTCCCAAGGACCTTCTTCACTTTGAAATAACTGATGGTAGATGTTTAGCCTAAAAGTTTCTTTTTCCCAAGACCTGTATCTCTAAGACTTTGTGTAGTCCATGAGAAACTTGTTTTTCTGCACTACTATATTACCTTCAAAGAACCAACAGCTTGAACCAACTACATTCTTCGTTTTATCACAAGATTATAAATGGTATATAAGCAAAAAACCGCTTTACAGTAGCCACAGCAGTTTCTCTAGAACTGACTGCCCATTTGCAAACGTCTCTTTCTCTTTCTCTAAATAGTTGATCTCTTTAATGGTCAAAGTCTTATTGTTTTTAATAGTAATTATCCCTGGGTTATAAGATTTGACTTAATATTTTTATCTTTTTTTCTATAACTTCCAATTTCTCCTAAATGATTAGTGCTATAATCAGAAAAATAAACTATGAAAGCTACTTTGAAAGAAGTTAGATTAAAATGAAAAAAACAAAACCACTCTTAATCCTAAGGACAAAGAAACATATGGAACTTTAATCAATTAGCTTGATTTTCTAACAAATTTTTAATCCTATTAACTGAAAATCTTCTGAAGTCCAAATTCCTCAATACAGTCAGTCCTCGATTTCTGGCGTATTCAAGTTATGACAAATTGTACTTAGGATGGTCTTTTTTTTTCTTTTGTACACCTCATCATTAGTAATATGTACTATATACAATGTTGCAGCATGTAATTTGCTGATATTATCAATCTATGTTCACTCTTAGATGTTCAATTTTATGATTTACTGTCCGCAACATTGTCATTTAGATTTAGTTTTCTAAACTAACTCAGGGGCTTCAGTTGCTTGAAAACATGGACCCAAACACTGATCACTTTGCTAAAGTCGACAGGCAGATTCGGGAACCAGTGAGATGTTACTACGAAATATATGAAGAAAAAAAGAAAAGGACCATACAGACAACTCCCACTAATTTTCCACCTAGAAATGCCATCCCCATTCCCAAAGATAATCCAGATGGTTCAGAACCTTCCACAAGTAGAGTTATTATCACAACTGACAAAATGCCAACATCATCCAACTCTTCTGCATCGTCAGAGTAAATTTTATGATTTGTGTATTTTTTTAATGTATCTACGCATGTATTAAGATACACCTATAAGTTTATATGTAATGTTTTCAACCCCCAAAGACAGAGATCGGATTTATAAAGATACTGATAATAATAGGCAATAATAATGAAAGCCAAAAAAAAAAAAAAAACAACCGAGGTATTCGACTTACATCAGAACTAATTTACAACAGAGTTGTTGGAATACAGCTCTGTCATAGGTAGGGGACTACCTGTATCAGGGAAGATTACTCAATAAGCATCAACAAAACAGGGGCACCGGTTTTCCAAAGCAAAGACCCACAGATGTCAAGCAAACAGGACACAAGGAAAAGTGAGCACCACAGTGGAAGGGAACTGTTGGGGCGCTAAATGAAACTGATACCAGCTCCAGTGCATAAGAATGTGCTGGCTGGAAATAAAGTTCGTGCATGGTCACGAGGGTGCCCACCCACAAGATTGTTTAAGCTATGATGCCACTACCACTTCAACACCTTCGTTGACATCTGACTCTTACGGTACCCTCCCATGTACCTGAAATTCCTTATCTCGGCAGGTCTCTTGGGAATACACTATTTCTTTCTAATAAACAAGAGGTGGGGGTGGGCTATCAAGTCTAACTCTTGCTATATTCACCCAATATGCAACTGGATCCAACGAGTGATTACTGGGCAAGGACGGATTCTATTAATAGATAACAAGTCTCTGATCTATTCTGGGAGAACTGTCTTGAACATCCACGTCTGCCGATCCAGCAACGCTAGTCAGGAAGGCCATCAATGTTCTTTGCAATAATACAAACACAAGGATATGCTCTTGCACACATCCTAGTAAACAACCAATGAGCACTCCAGTCCCAGATGATGCGCAAAAGTGAGGGAACTCAAATAAGTGGACCATGACAATGAATTCAATCAAGTTACTTTTTAACTGCACAGCATTTATGTACAGAGTTACGTCCTAAGTTGTGTAAACAATAATATTTATAACTTTAACTTTAAAATATGTTTGGCATACACATGGATGCAATCTAGCATACATTTAATATAATACTAACATGGGTAATAATTTAATACTAACACAGCAAACACCCTAAAAATACTGGAGATATTAATATTTATCTAGCACAAAAGGTTTTCATTTACATACCAAACGAGTTTCATTTTTATTGTCTGCTGTGCAGGACACAGTGCTTGATATCACTCCATATATGCCAATAAATCAGGTATATACGTAACTCACATATCCAGTTCAAATGTGTGAATAAGTAGAGGAGGGAGCACCACAGATTATCAGTGCTTAGGGTATGCCTTAATCTGGTCCTGACCTATATATAAAGTCCTCTTCATTCCAGCCCCAGCCTGCCTTTCCAGTCTATTCTCCCACCATACTCGTCCACGTGGGAGGATAAAATCTTTCCAACCAGACACCTTCATATTTGGAACTTAATACATCATGCCTTATGAATCCAGCTCGTATGCACACATCTATCTCTCCTACTGGATTATAAACTCTGACAGACATGTAACACAACCACATCTTCTTCCTTTGTATGCCACCATGCCTAGCACACTGCCTCATAAATAAGATGTGTGGTCTTTAGATCTACTAAATAAAAACTAACCTGCTGCTGTAGAGTCGATTCCGACTCACAGCGACACTACAGGACAGGGCAGAACCACCCCACAGGGTTTCCAAGACTGTAATCTTTACGGAAGTAGACGGCCACATCTTTCTCTTGCAGAGCGGCTGGTGGGTTCGAATTGCCTACCTTTCGGCTAGCAGCTGAGCGCTTAACCACTGTGCCACAGGGCTCCTTAGTAAATAAAGCTACTGGATACGAATTGAAACTTGCAGCGCAGATAAAGCATTTTCAAAATTAAATAAAACTTTCTAAGAAATGAACTCTAAATTGTCTCCAGATACTGAAAATTAATGACCAAATAATATCATGAACCCCTTTAAAAAGATCAACCTCTGAAGTCCTACAGTGAGGTGATAGCACGGATAATTTAATTTTTCTTTTTAAAAATGTCCTCTACTATTGCTGAAATATAATTTTACAAGTAACAATTTTCAGTAACGTTCATAAGTATCAATTAGCTTTGGAATTGAGTCTAAGTTTTGGAATCAACATGGGTTTCCAGCATGTACCAACTTACCTAGCTGCAGTTACTCTGCGGATGAGCGTCTCTGTTTGCTGTGACAAGTCTGATGGCAGCAGCAGTTCCACCGGCTGCAGGCACAGGATCCGAGTTTCTAGTTCTGAACGGGAAGCAAAGTCCTGGAAACTATCAAACACAACCTCACCTGTGGCAGGCTGCACTCCCTAAAACGAACAAAAACAGAATGTCACAGAAAATATATATTTTTTCCCAATTATAGCTATGACACAGCACAAATAAATCTGGAAGTAGTAAAGATGATACACTCATTAGCATGTTCTCCATTTCTAAAGTGTCCAAAAGAAGGACTCAGAGTCACTAATATCTAAACTATGCTAGATGGGATTTTGGAGAGACAGCCTAGTACAAGGTCTGATACACATAGCTGAGTGTCTGTGATATCACCAAATCCTCCTGGGCCTCAGTTTCCTCCTCTGTAAATGGGAATAAACCAGCCTACTTCCTTCACTGGATTTTTGTAAGGAACAAATATCAGAAAACAAACATGTAAATGCTTTGTATACCATAAAACCAAAAACACCAAACCCTTTGCCATCAAGTCGATTCTGACTCACAGTGACCCTATAGACAGAGTAGAACTGCCCCATAGGGTTTCCAAGGAGCAACTGGTGGATTCGAACGGCTGACGTTTTGGTTAAGCAGAGCTCTTAACCACTGTGCCACCAGGGCTCCTTGTGAACTATAAAGCACTGTACAAATAGCAGCTATCATCATTAAAAGTAATGAGACAGGCTCCTAATAAACTGACCATCAGAGTAGTACTAAATTACTACTTCATCATATAAAATATGTTAAAAAATCTAATTTAAAAAAAAAAAAAACAACAAATATAACAAACTCTGAATGGACCTCACATAGATCATCTATCCAGTGAAATAACTACGATGACTTAAAGTACTTCTTAACACCAAAACCAATCACAGCAAAGATAAACTGGAAGATCATGGTTTGGAAGAGATGAGAAAGTTAAGTAACTTAGGGAAGGTCCCAGAGCTATCAAGTGGTGGAACCCAAGATTCAAACTCATGTCATCTGAATTACAGGCCATACTCTCATCCACTACTGATACTTACGAAATGCATGGGGCTAGTTATAGACTGGAGCCCTGGAGGCACAGTGGTTAAGAGGTCAGCACTTCGAATCCACCAGCCACTCCTTGGAAATCCTATGGGACATTTCTGCTCTGTCCCATGGGGCACTATGAGTCAGAATCGACTCGATGGCAATGGGTATCAATGGGTAGTTACAGACTGATTAGCTACCAGGCAGAAAAACAACCGATCCCTATGCTCATACACTGCAAGTGGAAAGTAAAGTGACACAGTCACTTCAGAAAATAGCCTGGCATTATCTAAGAAAACTGAAAATATCCCTACTCTGTAACTCAACAATTCCTCCAACAGGACATACTCTTGAGAAACTCAGACACATGTACACCAGAAGGCATGTACAAAAACGTTTATAGTAGCATTCTTTGTACAGACAAAAACACAGAAAGAGCTCATATGTCCATCAACAAAAAAAGGATTATAGATCATAAAATGGGATACTACACACAGCAACACAGTGAAAACTACAGCAGCACATGAAAATAAATCTCATAAATATAATAGTAAATGACAGCAAGCCCCAAAAGTACACACAATATGTTTACATACACATATAAAGTCTAAGGTGGTAAAACTGGAATTAAAGGCAAGGAAGTTATTATCATAAAAGTCTAGATTATGGTTACCTCTAGAGGGAAGAAACAACAGAAGCCCTGTGAGTTGTTGTTGGGTGCCACGGAGTCAGTTTAGCCTCACAGTGGCCCCATGTGACAGAGCAGAACTGCCCCAAAGGGTTTTCTAGACTGTAATCTTTGTGGGAGCAGACTACCAGGTCTTTCTCCCTTGAAGCAGCTGGGAAGGTTTGAACAGCCAATCTTTCAGGTAGCAGCTGAGCACTTAACAACTGAGCTACCAGGGTTCCTTTCGTGAGTTGTAGGCAATATATTTCCTTACCTGGGTGATTGCCTCACAGATAACAGTTTTATTACACAGTAAATTTTTGTTTTATACATTTTTCCATTTGAATATAATTTTTTTAAGTCCCTCATTTTTAGCTCAAGGAACTTCTTTAATCCTAGACCAGAGGGATTCTCTAAGGCACAGATAGCTGGACTATAAGTACATGAATATACATATATGTTTATCTCCCAAACACAACCATGCATTTACAAAAGTCATTTACAGAAGTTCAAACAACACATTTATCAGCCAGACAAATTCCCCTTTGCTTTACTTAGAGAAATAGTCTCTACTGTAATACCTACAACATCTATTGTTCTGTGTGATACATGACATTGAAAAACGTGAAGACAGTCTGCATAAAATGTGTATTGCCCAACTGAAGGCAGAGGGCCTGATCGAAGTGGTACTACAACAGTAAGGCCTGTGAGTTCAGACTACCAGTACCCAAAAGATGACTTTCAGGTAGTGACTGGAGAATGTGTGACACTCACCAAAGCAGAGGAAAACCCAAGGAGAACAGTATTGAGAGTAAAGGAGGATGAGATCCATTTCAGCCATATTGAGTTAGAGGAGCCAGGAAAATTCTGAAGTCCCTTGTCCAATAAAGGGCTGGATGCAGCCTGGAACACAGGAGAGAGGTCTAGCCTAGACCCAGAGCTCTGGATGTCATCCGCCCAAAAGTGGTCAGTGAGGTCGATAATAGGACCCAAACCACAGCTTCATCTATCCTGAGACCAAAAGAACTAGATGGTGCCTGGCTACCACCACCAACCATTCTAGTCAGGGCCACAACAGATGGACCCTGAAAGGATGGGAGAAAAATGGGGAACAGAACCTCAAATTCCTAAAAGAAAGAAAAACTAAGTCTACTAGACTGGTTGAGAGTGGACGACTCTCCGAGACTATTGCCCTGAAATACTCTTCAAACCTTGAACCAAAACTAACCCCTGACATCATCTTGTGGCTATAGATCATCTTGTAGTTAAATAACAAACTGGCTCAAAAAATAATGAACATCACTCGTAAGTACCGTGCTCCTTTAAAAAATCACCTATATGAGACCAAATGATCAACAATTAGTTTAAAACAGGGCTTTCAACCAGTTCAAACAGGTTCAGTCATGGCCACCAAAGCAAAAACAGACCACACTCAAATTTTTACAATTTAACAATATGGGTGATTCAGAACGATAACTGGAACAGGAAAAATTACGAGTTGAAGCCCTGGAATGGGAGACTCAGAAGAGGTGCAGTGAGCCCTTTGAGGAACCTGCTAGGTGAGACTGGATTATTTGCAGGACTGTGGAGAGCAACACACATTCAAAGCAGTGTGGTCAACCCCGATCTTTAGGTGGGGTACCGCTGTTTCCAACTGTTCAAAATCCAACAGGCAAGAGATCTGGTTGCTATGCAATGCATATGCTGCCCTTGTTTTCTAAGACAGCAATTAGGTTTCCAGCAGGGCTTCGACCCATAATTTTTCCCATACCGGTTATCATTCTGGTTTACCCAAATTTTAAAAATTTGGGTCTGTTCCACTTTCGCTTCCTCAGCCATAGCTGAACCACAAAGAACCAGTTTGAAGCCCTGCTTTAAAACAAAGATAAGAATATAAGAGGGCAGGGAAGCTAGACTAATGGAAATGGAACAACCAGAAAGAAAACAGTGAGAATGTTCATGCATTGTGAAGACTGTAGCCAATGTCACTGAACAACTTGTACACAAATTGTTAAATAGGAACCTAAACTGCTGTGTAAACCTTCACCTAAAACACAATAAAATATTATTTTAAAAAATCTAAAAAAAAAAGAATAGGACCCAAAAAAATGCTTGAGGGGCAAACTATCATTTCTCATTTTTTTCCACCCCAGTTCACACAATATGATTAACTTTGGCAGTGGACCAGATAATATTCCTAAAAGCACTAAGCAAGAGATGTACACTATCAACTGTCTCTTTAGAAGGAGTTTTGGCTAAATATAAAATAGCACATTATATACGTTAAGGCTTAAAAGCAAATAACCTTACTATTTGTAGACAGGGCCAACTGCCTATGGCTAGACAAAAAGCTGCTTCTCAAGGATAAAAAAATCGTTTGGAGCCATCCAATACCAACAGTAATGCTAAGTCTCAGAGAGAAGGGCTTGTTGGTTAAGCAAATGTTAACACAGAGATCACGTGGCCAGAATAAAGTATTAAAAGGTACACTGGAAACATTCAGGTTGTAAAAATTTGTGTTGCTATTGTTGCTAATTGTGAAAGTTAGAAATCGGTGACAATAGTTAAAATTAGTTACTACTTAGGCAAGGAATACTACTTTTGCATAACTTATAAAACGGGAATCTAGTAGCTCCAAAGAGCAATAAGGAGTATAATTTTGAGTGGAGCCCAGGTGGGTCTGTAAATGGGTAAATTACACATATATTGCCAGAATGCAGCAAGATCAATAAGCTATGATTCACAAATTATATTTATCTAGAAGACTGCTTGTAAAAATTCCTTTTATTACTTTACTATGAAGTTTTGTACTGGCCCCTTATCATTTCCTCTTGACTATCCCTGCCTTCAAATCTAGATACAATAATCCTATAATCATTCATGTTTAATTTCAAACCCCTAGCGGAAATCTGTAAAACTCTCTGCTTCCCATGCATGTGTTGGCTTAGTGTTTTATTCTAACTATACATAGTTCACAGCATGTCTGTCACTGTGTCTGCCTTCAACTCTAGAATCCTAGAGCACATGGACCAAGACTATCTGGACCTCTCCATAACATATACTGACAAGTAGCCATATGACTCATTAACAACCTGGATATACAGCAACCTTGTTTGCTGAAAGTGAAGAGGATTTGAAGCATTTATTGATGAAGATCAAAAACTAAAGTCTTCAGTTTGGATTACACCTCAACATAAAGAAAACAAAAATCCTCACAACTGGACCGATAAGCAACATCATGATAAACAAAGAAAATACTGAAGTTGTCAAGGATTTCATTTTACTTGGATCCACAAGGAACGTCCATGGAAGTAGCAGTTAAGAAATCAAACGACATACTGCATTGCGCAAATCAGCTGCAAAAGACCTCTTTAAAGTGTTAAAAAGCAAAGATGTCACTTTGAGGACTAAGGTGTGCCTGACCCATGCCGCGGTATTTTCAATCACCTCATATGCATGCGAAAGCTGGACAATAAACAAGGAAAACCAAAGAAGAATTGATGGCTTTGAATTACAGTATAGCTGGCAAAGAATACTGAATATATCCTGTGCTGCCAGAATAACGAAATGTCTTGGAAGCAGTACAACCAGAATGCTCCTTAGAAGCGGTGGCGAGACTTTGTCTCACATACTTTGGGACACTCTATCAGGAGGGACCAGTCCCTGGAGGAGGATATCAAGCTTGGTAAAGCAGAGGGTTGGCAGAAAAAGAGGAAGACCCTCAACAAGATGGACTGACACAGTGGCCACAACAATGGGCTCAAACATAGCAATGATCGTGAGGATGGTGCAGGACTGGGCAGTGTTTTGTTCTGCTGTACACAGGGTCACTATGAGTTGGAACGGACTTGACAGCACCTAACAACAACAACAATGGCCATATGAGAAAATTTTAGCCAGTGATTTAACATATAATAGTATGAGGAAAATATTTTTATAATACAATTACTTGAGGGGGCACTTCATCATATATCCTCATTATAAACTATAAATGTTACCTCATATTTAGAGATACCATTACAATCTTGAAAACTCTGGTGGCATAGTGGTTAGCTACAGCTGCAAACCAAATGGTCACCAGTTTGAATCCATCAGCTGCTCCTTGGAAACCCTATGGTGCAGTTCTACTCTGTCCTACAGGATCACAATGAGTCAGAATCGACTTGACGGCAACAGGTTTCAGGTATTACAATCTATCATTCATTCTTCACCTACAAAGTACTTACCACAATCCCAATATAAATGTTCCCCTTTTTTTTGTCCTTAACAGTTTCTTTATTTTCACAAATACACAGCAGATAGTTGGTAGAAGTATCAGTCATTATCTCGTCAACATTTACAGCATCATCCAGCTTGATTAGGGGATTCACATGTAATAATTATTAAAGAAAAATATATGCTACTTTTCCATTAATATTAACTGTTTTCTCCTTTAAAATCATGGTTCATTTTGCCAGGTACTTAGAGGATCCATTAGTCTTTGTAAAAATCTTCCATACAGTATTCATTTACTCTGATTATAGCTGCATACCTTATCTACCTTAAGTTATAAGGCTCATAAGGACAGATGACTATTATCTCCCCACTTCCAAAGCACGTGGCAGAATACATCAGACACTGTGGAAGCCCAAATATTAACCCTCTTCTTTACTTGAGTGATGTTGAGACTTAATGTAAATCCTCAGTAATCCCATAATGTTTTAATTCCATAAATCAATGCACCTAATAGCTAGTAGCTGTCAGCTACTTCCCTGTAACTATTCCTTTCTCCAAATCTACATATAATAACCCCATAATCATTCATACTTAATTTCAAATTCCTAGAGATAATCTGTAAAATTACCATGCTTTGCTATCCACACATTTGCTGGCTTAGGGTTTTATTAAAGTGCCTAATAGCTCTGGGAAATAGTAAAAAAAATTTTTTTTAAAATGAGAAAAGAAAACAGATATATACACCCACTCCTCACTTATCAACATGGTTAAGCTCCAAAGACCAGGTCGTTACCCGAAAATCTGCTTTATGTGAAAATGGAGGATGACCACATCAGATCACAAAATGGAGAATGACTACATCATTACATAACTAACATATTACGTCTTTGCATAACTACCAAATTACATCAACATAACTGCCGAATAACTGAGAATCATGGTCCAGCCAAGTTGACACATAATCTTTACCATTACAGCCCGTGTTACTCTCACCTCGCCACTTGTTACTGCCAGATATACATCATTAATGCACAAAGTAGTCCAATAGTAGGTTTTTTAGCAGTCTCACAAATGTGAAACATCAGATAACAAGCTAGTCGATAACTGAGGAGTAGGTGTATATACATTTATATATAAATATCTATACTTATATATAAATATAAATAATTTATGCTTATGTATATGTGTGTGTGTATATATATCTCTCTCTCTCTCATTGCCATCGAGTCAATTCTGACTCATAGTGACCCTATAGGACAGAGTAGAACTGCCCCATAGAGTTTCCAAGGAGCACCTGGTGGATTTGAACTGCCGACCTTTTGGTTAGCAGTCACAGTACTTAACCACTACACTACGAGGGTTTCCATATTTATACATACACATATATATATACCCAAAACCGAACTCACTGCCATGGAGTCGACTCCAACTCATAGCAACACTACAGGACAGAGTAGAGCTGCCCCCCAGGTTTTCCAAGACTGTAATCTCTACAGGAGCAGACTGCCACGTCTTTCTCCCACAGAGTGGCTGGTGGGTTCAAATCACTGACCTTCTGGTTAGCAGCCAAGCACTTAACAACTGTGCTACCAGGGCTCCTCATATATATGTATACGATAGTCAATTAATTAAATTCTCAGATATGATGAAGTTAGTCTGAGCATAGCCAGTTTGGGTAAAGTTCTGATTTTTCAGCAGGTAAGAGCTATAGCAGCAAAGAAATAGGGAGGGGTACTATTTTAGGAGAAGGCTTCGAATGAGAGGCTCAGGCTCAGGAAAAAGAAAAATCATCAAGCCCTGGTGGTGCGATAAGGAGTCCTACTGCAGTGGTTAAAGCACTCAGCTGCCAACCAAAAGGTCAGCAGTTCAAGCCCACAGCCGCTCAGCAGGCAGTCTGCTTCTGTAAAGATTTACAGCCTTGAAAACCCTATGGGGCAGTTCTACTCTGCCCTACAGTATTGCTATGAGTCGGAATTGACTTGACAGCTGTGGGTTTGGTTTTGGTTTTTTGGTGGTGCAGTGGTCAAGCACTTGCTGCGAACCGAAAGGTCAGCGGTCCAAACCTACCAGACACTCCGCGGGAGAAAGATGTGGCAGTCTGCTTTCATAAAGATTTACAGCCTTGGAAACCCTATGGGGCAGTTTTACTCTGTTTATAGGGTCGCTATGAGTCAGAATCAACTCAGTGACAGTGGGTTTGGTTTTGGTTTATAGCCCAATCAGCTTAGAGCGACAAAGAGTTCTTAACGGTCTGGGGGTCCATTCTGAATGGCATTTATGGTAGAGATTTATGACACTGATGGAATAAAACAGCTCTCAGAATTTGGGTAGAAGCTAGGCAGGTCTCTAAAGGAGCAGATCTGTAATAAATCATAACAGAAATATTAAGAAATATTCTTTTCACAAAATATCATTTAAGACCTTCTTATCTCCACATTCTTTTATTATGGGGCACCTGACCCCACTCCATAGTAAACATTTTAAAATGCACCCTTATTTCATTTTACATATAATTATTGGTTTAAAAAAAATTAACAGCATTTTTATGACTTTGCTTTTGAAATTATTTTGCTTCAAGTTACTCATTTATTTTATAAACGGCTATAAATTTTGGGGTAATCCTTGTGCAGCACACAGAAGATTCTTGCAAAGCGAAGAAACTTCACTTACATTTTCAAAAGTAGTAAAATTTTTACGAAGGTAATTCAGCTTTAATGAAGATGGCCTACTGCTATGTTTTATAAGCATTTAACTGTGTGTTCATTTTGATTTTGCAGTTTTCTTTTCACATTTTGAAACTAGTAATTTCTTTTTTGGGTTTCATTTTAGTAGGATCTTAAAAAGCTTGTAGGCCTTAAGTACCGAACAAGTGCCCACAAATGGCCTAGGTGAGATGTGATTTCAAATCAGTTGCTAACTGCCATCATCTTTTATCAGGTTATCTGTGTTTAACTAACTTTCCTTACTCTTAATGGATGATGAACTCTGCTTTTACCATGGCATTTGAAAAATGCTTGTTTCCAAGATTAGTCCAAAGAACTAATTGCCCACAGCTACCAAGGCCTCCACCGAACTGAGTCCAGTACAGCTAGATTGTGCCCGGCTACCACCACTGACTGCTCTGACCAGGATCACAACAGAGGGTTCTGGACAGAGCTGGAGAAAGATGTAGAGCATAATTCTAACTCACAAAAAAAACGCCAGATTTACCGGCCTAATGGAGACTGGAGAAACTTCGAGAGTATGGCCCCCAGACACCCTTTTAGCTCAGTGGTGAAGCCACCTCTGAGGTTCACTGTTCAGCCTGGGAGTGGACAGCCCCGTAAAACCAAATGAGACTAACGAGGTACAGGAGTCCAGTGACAAGGGCCAGGAGGCAGAAGAAGACAAGAAAGCTGGTGATAGGGAAGCCAAGGTTGAGTAAGGATATTGTTGATGTATTGTGAGATTGTTAACCACGGTCACAGGGCAACATTTGTAGTAACTGTTAAATGAGAAACTATTTTGTTCTGTAAGCCTTCATCTTAAGTGAGAATAACAGCACAATTGGAAGAGCGTAGTCAATGTCACTGAACTGTGCATGTAGAAATTTTTGAACCGGTGTATCTCTGACTATGTGTATTTTCACCAAAAAAAAAAAAAGGTTGAGAAGTTAGAGGGTTAATATGTTGTGGGGTTGTTAACCAATGTCATAAAACAACATGTATACTACTGTTTCACGAGAAACTATTTGTTCTGTAAGCCTTCAGCTGAAGTACAATAAAATATAAAAAAAAAAAAGAAAAAAAAAGGCTTGTTTCTAGCTATTATCAACCCTTCCCTCTTCAACAGTACACACAATCAAAAGTTTAAGTAACCATATCATCTTATCTGATCAAAAATATAGCCACTCAAAAAACTGTTAAAAATTTACAAAAAAAACCCTGTTATCCTCAAACAAATCCTTTGTGACATTTAAGAGAAAAATTCTATTCAAAAAGGATATCTTCTCCAATAAGGGTAGATTTCGTATAAAGAGCAGTCAATTTCCGGGAAAAGACTGTACTTTTATTGTCCCCAATGGCTTTTAATGCTGCAGTTTCAGTTTGCTTCACAACTCCCACCTTCAACAAAGATAAAAAATATTAAATTTGAAATATGAAGGAAAATTTATTCTTAAAAAAACACATTTCAAAATTTTAAAAGGTTAATTCTGAATCCTTTAAAATAAACAAATTATTCCACAATCTTCAGATGTAGGTCTTAAATAATAAGCATACAGGGAGTTTACAAGTGTGGCTAAATTACTTAGAAACACTCTACCACAGAATTTAAAAAAATAAAAAATTTACCTTAAATATCTAACAATATGTTCAAAACTCATGAAGATATAATGCTAATAATTATTATACACTTTCATTTCTCCAAATTACCAAATTCCAAAACCATTAAAACCGGTCACTCTACACCACGTTTTCATTCTCGGGAAGAGAATTCCAACTCTCTTTCCCACAAGTTAAAGCCAAAGCTGACCTTATATCCTTTTGCCACAAGGCGGCGCACATGAACAAACAGTCTATGAGTAGGTATACTTGCTGTCATGAAGTTGTGATCCAAATGGCAATAAATATTGAGTTCCCGCGCTGCAATCTGAAAAAATTTTGAAAAGAGATTTTCGATAAATTTCTATTGCAAGACTCCCTCTGTGGGGTCTGTTGCCTTTGTTGTGAAAATTCATCAAGGCACATACTTAGGATTTGGGCACTTCTCTCTGTGTAGGGTGTATCAATAAAAAGTTTAAAAGACAATCTCTGTGTGAATGTTTAGGGTTTACTGTATTTGGGCAGTTTCAATGGCCTTGCCTCAGGGGAAAAATCTTTACCTACAAACTGCTCAGAAAAATATGATGGGTCTTCTTCTAGGTATTTAGATCTAACAAAACCTTAAAGTGCTGAGCTTTCCCTATCCAAAGACTATTTAATACAGAGAGCATCAGACTATGATAGAATAAGAATTTGCTACATGGCATATGCAAATAAATGACAATTAGGAGATAGTACAGAGTATACCTAAATGACTTCTTTCCTGGGTGGCACAATCGGTTAAGCACTTGACAACCAGCCAAAGGGCTGGCAGTTCAAACCTACCAAGAAGTGCCTTGGAAGACAGGCCTGGTGATCTGCCTCTGCTGGGTCACAGATTTGAAAACCTTATGGAGCAGTTCTACTCTGCACACATGGGGTCGCTCTGAGTTGGAATCAACTTGACAGCAACTAACAACAATAACAACAACATACCTGAATTATGAACACACTTAAACAGAGAACATCTTTGAGGAAGTGAGAAGAGAACCCTCTGATCTGGTTAGTTAGTCAACGATACATGAGTGGTAGGAATACCCTCTGACCCCCTACTTTCTTTCAGAAAGCACCATGGCTCAGATATTGCCCACTGGAGCCTTGGAATTCTCATTCCAACACTCTTGCTCCTCTGCCCCACCCATCTTAAACTGTATTTGTCCCTCACTGTAGCACAGGAAAACATCAGCCTTTACTGTGGTCAGGGTTGAATTTACCTTTCAACTTAGAGAGCATAAGACAAAAAACACATTCACCGATTTATCTATAGGATGCCTACCAAGTTCAAGTTTCTGTCCTCAAGAAATATGCTAACTATTTTGGAGTCCAATTTCATAAAGTAGAAAACAGCATGATGCATCTGACCTAGAGAAGACCACTTTCCAGCCGCAACATGGTTTAGCAAACTTGGATTAAAAAAGTTGGGCAAGTCTTCACTTGCTTGCCATCCCATCAGGCATCAGAGCTGCCACCTCATCACTGTCTCTGATGCTGTGCAGCTCCAATCAGGACTGAGACCTATGTAATCATCACGATCATCCACAACTCCCAACAAATGCATCATCAGCCATACTTTCCCACAGCTTGCCCATTAAATGCTCAAACTCACTTCTAACCTTCTCCTGAATCAACTTAAACCTGTATCAAATATCTCAAAACTAAGTACAAATCAACTTAGACTAACAGATATCAAGAAGACTGACATAAAAGAGATCCAGTTGGTGGCTGACAGAGTTAATGTGCCATTGAGACTCACCTATGTCCCTGGCTATGAAAATTCATAAATTAAGGGTAAACAGAGGAACTTCTGTACATCTCAAATTTTTTTCTTGCTAGAGTCTTCATTAGGAAATATCAATCTTTACATGACTATGGTTCATTCACTAATTTATTCATCCAATAAACTTTTGATGGATCAAAGTTACTGGGCTAGCACTACAGAACATAAACACTGACATCCTAATAGGGAACCCCATACCCTCCCCCATAAGTCTAGCTCCCACCAATTGTGTTTGTGTTTATGGTTTTTACTTTAAATGACACCATTTTTAAAAGGTAATTAATCAAATTAGCTTTTCATAAAGTCAGAAAATGAAACAAAAGTACTGAAAAATAACTAAGGCTGGACAAGAAGAACATAAAGCAGTCTCTGAAAAAACAACTTACCTCTGCATCGTCGCCAAAGAATCTATACTTATATCCACATTCCACAAACAAAATTACATCTTTATGCTGCTGCTTCATTTCTATGTACTGTAATTCTAATGGAGTGTAGATGCTTTTGGTCCGTTTGTTAGATGGTTTAGAATCAGAAGTCAGTGTTTTACCCTGTCAACAAAAAGTTTTATAGTTTAAAAGGTTTTAGCCATGATAATATAATAGTTCCCAGAAACAGATGTCTATCTGGCACAAAGATAACTATTCGTGAATCTAGATGAAAGGTTTACAGGAGCACATATAGTATTCAGGCAAGTTGTCTATCAGTTTGTTGTACTGTGGTGGCTTGCGTGTTGTCATGATGCTGGAAGATATGCCACAGGTATTTCAAATACCAGCAGCATCACTCATGGCGGACAGGTTTCAATAGAGCTTTCAGACTAAGACAGATGAGGAGGAAGATCTGGTGACCTACTTCTGAAGAGAATTGACCAGTGAAAACCTTATGAATAGCAGCAGAACACTGTCACTATAGTGCTGGAAGATGAGCCCCTCAGGTTGGAAGTCACTCAAAGTACGACTGAAGAAGAGCTGTTTTCTCAGAACACAGTCGACCTTAATGATGTAGATGGAGCAAAGCTTTCAAGATCTTCATTTGCTGATATGGAATGACTCAAATTGAGAAGAAACAGCTGCAAACATCTATTAGTAATTGGAACATGGAATGTACGGAGTATGAATCAAGGAAAATTGGAAGTCATCAAAAATGAAATGGAACACTTGAAGACAGATATCCTAGGCATTAGTGAGCTGAAATGGCCTAGTACTGGCCATTCTGAATCAGACAATCATGTGTTCTGCTATGCCAGGAATGACAAATTAAAGAGGAATAGAGTTGCATTCATCATGAAAAAGTACATTTTAAGATCTATCTTGAAGTACAATGCTGTCAGTGATAGGATAATATCCATATGCCTACAAGGAAGACCAGTTAATATGACTATTATTCAAATTTACATACCAACCATAAGTCTAGCTCCCAAAAATGAAAAAAATTGAAGATTTTTACCAAATTCTACAGTCTGCAGTTGATCTAACATGCAATCAAGATGCACTGATAATTACTGGTGACTGGAATGCAAAAGTTGGAAACAAAGAAGAAGGACTGATAGTTGGAAAATATGGCCTTGGTGATAGAAACAATGCTGGAGATCGCATGATAGAATTTTGTAAGAGAAACGACTTATTCATTGGAAATAACCTTTTTCAACAACATAAACAGTGACTATACACATGGACCTTGCCAGATGGAATACACAGGAATCAAATCAACTACAGCTGTGGAAAGAGAAGATGGAGTTTAGTATCATCCAAGTAAGGCGAGGGACCACCTGGGAACAGACCATCAACTCCTTATATGCAAATTCAAGTTGAAGCTGAAGAAAATTAGAACAAGTCCCTGAGAGCCCAAGTATGACCTTGAGTATATTCCACCTGAATTTAGAGACCACCTCAAGAATAGATCTGACACACTGAACACTAATGACCGAAGACCAGACCAGTTGTGGGATAACATCAAGGACATCATACATGAGGAAAGAAAAAGGTCATTAAAAAGACAAGAAAGAAAGGAAAGACCAAAATCGATGTCAGAAGAGACTCTGAAACTTGCTCTTGAACGCACAGCAGCTAAAATGAATGGAAGAAATGATGAAGTAAAAGAGCTGAAAAGAAGATTTCAAAGGGCTGCTTGAGAAGACAAAGGAAGTATTATAACGAAATATGCAAAAACCTGGAGTTAGAAAACCAAAAGGAAGAACTTGCTCAGCATTTCTCAAGCTGAAAGAACTGAAGAGAAAATTCAAGCCCTGAGTTGCACTAATGAAGGATTCTATGGGCAAAATACTGAACAATGCAGAAAGCATCAAAAGAAGATAAAAGAATACCAAGACTCACTGTACAAAAAAAAAAACAAAACTGGTCAACATTCAATCATTTCAGGAGGTAGCATATGATAAGTAACCAATGGTACTGAAGGAAGAAGTCCAAGCTGCTGAAGGCACTGGCGAAAAAAACAAGCCTCTAGGAAACGATGGAATACCAACTGAGATGTTTCAACAAATGGATGCAAGTTGGAAGTGCTCACTCGTCTATGCCAACAAATTTGGAAGACAGCTGGGCAACTGACTGGAAGAAATCCATATTTGTGCTCATTCCAAAGAAAGGTGATCCAACGAAATGTGGAAACGATCAAACAATATCTTTAATATCACACACAAGTAAAATTTTGCTGAAGACAATTAAAGAATGGTTGCAGCATTACACTGACAGGGAACTGCCAGAAGTTCAAGCTGGATTCAGAAGAGGACATAGAACAAGGGATATAACTGCTGATGTCAGGCAGATCTTGGCTGAAAGCAGAGAATACTAGAAAGATGTTTACCTGTGTTTTACTGACCATGCAAAGGCATTTGACTGTGTAGATCATAACAAATTATGGATAACATTGTGAAGAACAGGAATTTCAGAACACTTAATTTTGCTCATGCAGAACATAGACCAAGAGGCAGTTGTTCAAACAAAACAGGGGGATACTGCATGGTTTAAAATCAGAACAGGTGTGTCAGGGTTGTATTCTTTCACCATACTTATTCAATCTCTGTGCTGAGCAAATAATCCAAGAAACAAGACATCAGAGGAATGTGGCATTAGGATTGGAGAAGACTCATTAACAACTTGTGTTATGCAGATGATACAACCTTGCTTGCTAAAAGTGAGGATAACTTGAATCACTTACTGATGAAGATCAAAGACTTCAGCTTTTAGTATGGATTACACTTCAATATAAAGAAAACAAAAATCCTCACCAACTGGACCAATAAGCAACATCATGATAACAAAGAAAATACTGAAGTTGTCAAGGATTTCATTTTACTTGGGTCCACAATCAACGTCCATGGAAGCAGCAGTCAAGAAATCAAACGACGTATTGCATTGGACGAATCTGTTGAAAAAGACTTCTTTAAAGTGTTGAAAAACAAAAACATCACTTTAAGGACTAAGGTGTGCCTGACCCAAGCCACGATATTTTCAATCGCCTCATATGCATGCAAAAGCTGGACAATGAATAAGGAAGACCAAAGAAGAATTGATGCCTTTGAATTATGATGTTGGCAAAGAATATTGAATATACCATCGACTGCCAGAAGAAGGAACAAAGATGTCTTGGAAGAAGTACAGCAGAATGCTCCTTAGACGCGAGGATGGCAAGACTTTGTCTCACATACTTTGGACATGTTATCAGAAGGGATCAGTCCCTGGAGAAAGACATCATGCTTGATAAAGTAGAGGATCATCGAAAAAGAGGAAGACCCTCAATGAGATGAACTGACCCAGTGGCTGCAACAATGGTTTCAAGCATAACAATGATTGTGAGGACAACACAGGACCGGGCAGTGTTTCGTTCTGTCGTACAGAGGGTAACTATGAGTCAAAACCAACTAGACCGCAGCTAACAATAACAAAGGCTTAAAAAAAACTGTCTTAGTTATCTAGTGCTGCTATAGCAGAAATACCACAATTTGTGGCTTTAATGAAGAGTAATTTATTTCCTCACAGTTTAGAAGGCTAGAAGTGTGAATTCACGGTGCCAGCTCAAGGGGAAGGTTCTCTCTCTGTCCACTCTGGGGAAAGGTCCTAGTCTCTTTTCAGCTTCTAGTCATTCCTAGGTGTCTTGGTGACCACGTAGCATGTATCTTGCCCTCCGTTTGTGCTTGCTTGCTTAATCTGCTTTTTTATGTCTCAAAAGAAAATGATTTAAGATATACCCTACAGTAATACTATCTATTAACGTAACAAACTCCGTTCCCAAAAGGAATTATAACCACAAGTATAGGGTTTAGGATTTACAATACATATTTTTGGGGGACATAATTCAATCTATAATAAAAAGTATGAACCAAACTAAATTATTACATAACTATTTAAGCAAATTTTGACAATCTAAATATTTTAATGTCTTATATACTTTTATATTTTGATTTTGTTAAATTTACTGTTAACATATCTTTGTATTATTTATTCTCAGGTGTGTGATTCACAAAAAGCCAAAAGGCATGAATCTGCCTCTCTCAGCAGTAAGGCAAAACTGCTTTCAGCAAGCATGCCAGCAGCTATAATTACACACTTAATGTTTTATATTTCAAAGCACACGCTAAAAGATATGTTCTAGAAATCCTGATTCCAAGAAAGAACCACGGTTGTTTTGGTACAGAGATATGGGAGAGAGCTCTTGGAAATCATAAAGCACAAGGTTACGTTTCCAAAATTAGTATCCCTACTGTTCTTAACTTTATGTGATGAAAACCAAAATTACAGGCAGTACCAGGGTACAAACTTACCGACAACTCATACTTGCCCTTTAATGTTATGTAAATTTGCCCTCACTTGGAAACGACTGAACCGACTCCTACTCGAAACAAATTCTTCATCACAATCACCTTCACTTGCTGCACATGCAGCTTTTAAATCATTGAAAAGACTCTGAGCCTTTTCTTGACTAACTAAACCAAAAACCAAACCCACTGCCACTGAGTTGATTCCGACTCATAGTGACCCTATCGGACAGAGTAGAACTGCCTCATAAGGTTTCCAAGGAGCGCCTGGTGGATCTGAACTCCCGATCTTTTGGTTAGTAGCCGTAGGTCTTAACCACTATGCCACCAGAGTTTCCGCTTGAGGTAAAGTAAGGCTAAATAAGAACCATACGCACCATTCCTACTTACCTACAAATTCAACTTAAAGACACAGGAATTAATCTCGTTAGTAACCCAGGGACTGCCGATAATTCCAATTCACAGCTTAAAGCAAACTGCTTGCTTGTTGTTAGACTCAACTTAGACCAAAGGTAAAATGAGACAAATCTATAGGACACATCCAACATATACTCAATTGTTACTGTGTCATTGCCAACATGTAAAAATTTACCCAGCTACCTCCGGAACTAAAAATATGGTCTAAAAGACTAGTAACCAGCAGACGAAGAGAGAAAGAGAATTGTCTTTATGGCTCAGGGAAGGGGTTCCTGGACCAAGAGAAATCCTGGGAACATGTACACTGCAGTTGCGAAATGTTTTAAAAAGTCAGCATAGCTGGGACAACCAGTAGGGACATTAACTTTTTTTTTTTCTTTTATTATTGTAAATAAATGAAATTTACATTTCAAGTTAGTCTCCCATACAAAATTTTTTTTTTTTTTACATACATTGTTATGAGACCCTAATTGCTCACCCCATTCTGCACAGCACACTCCTCCTTTCCGCCCCTGATTCCCCATGACCATTCAACCAGCTCCTAACTCTCTCTGTCTTCCTATCTCACCTCTGGACAGAAGCTGCCCCTTTGGTCTCTTGTATCTACTTGACTAAGAGGCACACTCTTCACTAGTATCACTTTATGTCCCACAGTCCAGTCCAATCCCTGTCTGAAGAGTTGGCAGAGACATTAACTTTTTAAAGAGACTCAATTTACCTGAATAGTATATATAGCCTGCTAAACTCCAAACATCAGCAATAAGACGGAAAGTTATGGAGAGGTGTGGCAGAGAAAAGTGGGTCAAAGTATATTAGCTCTGAGAACACATTTGCATTCAATTTTTGGTGAATTTTCTATTAAGCACCCATGACTTTTATGTAAAATTCAGGAATACTATATATTGTAAAACTTAATCAATACTTAAAAAAATACATTTCCTAGAAAAAAAATTCTTACTTAATACCTTATTCATATGTGGGCTGAGATAAGGCATCCAGGAAAAAGTTTTATCCATATGAGATGCTAACAAGTAAGTCAATCTGACTACTTAAGTATTAAGCAACTTTTTTTAAAAACCATTTGGGTGGAAATACTTCTCAGCTATTTTATATCTTTTCATATGCTCAGAGGCAGCAGGCTGCACTCTCTTTAACCTTTGCTTGACAATTCAGGATGATCACAATAATAAATGGCAATTTCAGTACCTATCAAGACTTACAGGGTTGCTGACACCACACGAATGATCCTAGGCCACTGGGTACTTTACATTCTTTGATAGCTTTTTACTATTCATCTGTCTCTTTCCACGCCATCAAACAGTCAACTATCACTTTGGAATAATGTTCAGGGACTGCTTCTAGGTGTCCCTTCTAACTGGTTACTTCTAATCTGCTATGACTTAGAAACGCCACGTTGGTCATTTTACGTATAAAGCAACGGTGAAGCCCTGAGGTAAATTCTCCAATTAATAAAGTGAGCTTTAATAGACACACTTTATGGCCTCTATACTTTATGATCACTACACTCAGGTGAATTTCTTCTAAGTATTAAAAGAGACTACAAAGAAAATAAAACCTTCTTTTTTCTCCTGACGCTCTAAGGTGAGTCAACAGATCTTAGCCTGGCTGAGGGTTGTGGTGAAGGGGATGGAGGGAGCCCATGGATCTGGACTTGGTGGAAGGAGTGTGAAATTCTAAAAATTGTATACAAAATTTTGTTGATCTGAGCATTTTTCTGCGGAAAGATGACACCGTTTTTTCCCTCAGCCAGTTCAGGCGAACATCTATATAACAGTTACATACCTTTTGATGACTTTGTGTTTTAGAATCTTCAGAAGAAACTGCATTCTTTGCACGTTTAAGACTGATATCATCAAAATCAGTACATTTTGGCAAAACTGCAAACGTCTCCTGAAGAGGCTCTGTCGGGACTCTATCTTGAAGAAGAGCGGAAGTGCAGCGGAATTCTTTCAGTTTTTCCAGAGACTTTGAAACAATTCTGGTCCTCAAACATTTCTTTGGCTCTTAGTTAGCAAATCAGAAGAAAATACAAGAATAGTATTTTGGTCTCGATATGTCAATTCATAAGCAGAACAGAAACTATTTAAAGGAGAAAATTCACACTAAAGCAATAACCTATGATATAATAAAAAAAGAAAGAAACATTGGGTTCGGGTAAAGATCGCATATTGAAACATACATCTAGTTTCACTTGTTCCTGAAACCCCATTAAAACTACAGTAAGGTTCTGCCTTTTGCCTCTTTTTTTTTTTTTGGTATAAACCTATAAGGACAAAGAGAAAAGGACTGGTGATAACTGCAAATGAAATATCTGAACTAGAAGGAAAATGGATCTGCAATAACAAGGTTAGCAGATCTGAAAACTAAATCCTAAGGCCAAAAAAAAAAGGAAACCCCACTATAGCTGAATCGATTCCAACTGAAGGTGACCTCATGTGTTACAGAGTAGAACTGCTCCATATGGTTTTCTAGCCCTGGTGGCACATATGGTTAAGGACTCGGCTGCCAACTAAAAGGTCGGAGATTCAAACCCTCCCAACAGCTCCACAGGAGGAAGACTTGGCAATCTACTTCCTTAAAGAGTACAGCCAAGAAAACTCTATGGGGCAGTTCCACTCTGTCACATGGGGCTGCTATGAATTAAAGGATTGACTTAACGACACCTAACAACAGCAGTCTTTACGGAAGCAGATCACCAGGTGCTGCTGGGTGGGCTCGAACCACCGACCTTTAGGTTAGCAGTCGAGAGCAAACAGTGAAGAAAATGAAGAACCAATCCCTTTTACAACACAAAATCCTCAAACGGCTCAGGAATTAGGGAACCAGTAGCTCTGGGAGTGGAGTAAAAGGGGGTTCTAAAATAAAGAGGATTGGTTGAATGCAATTTGATTTTCACTCTATGTTCAAGGGTCACTGTCTCTCCTGTACTTCAACAGAAGACTGGGGATTTCTTCTGTTTACTGTGACTTCTCTTATCCTAGATATATATATTTGAATCTCTTTTCAAATGTACTTTTAGCTTATTTATTCTTATTCCCCTGGCTTTCAAAATATACACTTAAATCACTTTTCAAATGTACAGAAGTTTCCTTCTGAGTATAAGAGCTTCCTTCCCTGTGGATCCCAGGTATGAAAAAGGAAATGTACCTCAGGGGGACCCATATAACGGAATATTATTGAGCAATAAAACGAAATGAAGCACTGATACATGCTACAACAGGGATGTTCTTTGAAAGCATGAAGCTAAATTAAAGAAGCCAGACACAAATGGCCACATATTGTAGGATTCCATTTATATGAAATGTCCAGAATAAGCAAATCCATTCAGAAATCTAGTGATCTAGTTGCTTACAGCTGGGATGAGGGGGAAAATGAGGATTGACTGCTAATGGGTATGGAGTTTCTTTTGAGGTGATGAAAGTATTCTAATATTGTAGTGATGACTGCACAACTCTGAATATGCTAAAAACTATCCAATTGTACATTTTAAATGGGTGAATACTATGACATGTGAATTGTCAATAAATTTCAGTAAAGCTGTTATTCGGGGGGGGAAAAAAAAAAGAACTAAAACAGAGCAGTCACCCAGCTTCCAGCTGGTAGATGCTCCTCTCACTTCTTCCTGAATGCCACTTTTAGCAAATGGCAAAGGTCTTCTTTCAAAAATCCAAGTCTGTAGTCTTATTTCCACAACTTTCAATGTCAGCTCTCCTGTGTGACCTTGATCATACTGCTCTAACCTATAGTTCTCCTCACCTATCATCCATTTCTTCCTCGGTAAAAGGAGGACAACAAGGGCTGCTCTGAAGAATGAGCTACATAAAGCCTCTAGAACAATGGCTAGCAAATAATGACTGCTCGTTAACTGCTCATAGAATTCACCGAAAAATTAAGCAGATAGGTTTGTCCAGGAGTGAGGAAGGAAAGAAAGGTAGACAGTTCCAGAAAATGCAACATTCATTCATGCCAAATTCTGTCCATAAATCACGTTTCCTTTTATACCTGCTTCAGAAAGGAGGAAGAAAGGGGTATTATCACATTAATCTTTTTCCGTAGCCACGCATTTCCATTTCTATAGCTATCTCCTACAAAAGCTTTCATGTTGACATTAAGTCCAAATTTTGCCTTTTGAAGAACAGATTTCTCACATACTTAATCCACTGAGACTTTTTTTTTTTTTTTTGCTTTTGTCTCAATCTCTTTATCTATTTTCCAGGGGATAAAGAAGAAAGAAAAATTTCCTGTCTTCCTTTATTACAAATTCTCTGAGACCAAAAACTATAAGGAAAAATCCACTCACCAACCATATTCAAACACATTTGCACCCAACACCACCTTGGGAAGTCCAAGAGCTCAAGAATCCTGTTTTTATCCAACATCTTTTTGCAGACAAGAAGGGTAGCTCCATGCAAAACAGGACAGAAGAAACCTATATGTCCTGACATTGAAAATTTTTCAAAATGTTCTGTTAAGTGGGAAAAGATAGCTGCAAATCAGTATATATGCAGTGTACCACTATTTTGTAAAATACAGTATTATTAATTAATTCGTGTTTCTATACATGTGTACAGATATGTGTGTAGAGATCAAAAAAATCTGGGAGAATATATAGTGCTCCAACAAATTAGCAGTAGGCATCACTGAAGGGAGAGATTATGGGGGTCTTTCATTGTCTACCCTCTACATTTCTGTATTATTTGAAATTTTTATAACAAAAATGTTTTACTTATAAAATCAGGAAAAAATTAACTAGAGGGAATAAAAGAGAGTTGGGAGAACGAGAGCCCAACTGCAGAACTCCAGCTCTATCCCCACCCACACCACCACCACTTACTGAGGGGCAACTCTGCTCAAGCACAATGGAAACCTTTCTGCACGAATTAAAAAACACAACTCTCCAATAGCCTCCTCCGCTCTCTGGTGAATGTAAAAATATTAGAGCCATGACTGGTAAGAATAAAAAAATCACTGCCCCAGAACTCACCAGAGTCTCCAGACATTACCAAATCACTTCCTCCTTCTTTTTCTTGGACTTTCTTTGCCCTCTTTTTAACAGGTTCATTGTTCTCCAGTGCTCTCTTTTTACTTCGGTCAACTTCCATGGCCTGTATCACAGAAAATAATGGTTACACAATAATAAAGGTTATAAAATGATGTATGATCTCTGTTTTCAACAGTTGGTGCATGTGAAGTAATTTAAACATTACTTCTGAATTAAAGCAAGGTTCTAACCATCCACCCCTCATAGAATCATGCACTCTTGGCTCTGGAAAGGTCTATGGGTGAACTGTTTCTACCATCACCAAAGACAGGGTGGAGACTGACAGGTCATGAGCTTCAGCACCTCATCTCCTAGAATCAATTGGAACCAAGGCAGCTGCCTTTCTTGACTCAATCAGCCTTCATCTATCTCAAATTATAAAATTCACATCACCCTACTTACATATTTTAAATAAAATACCTTTAAGAAATAAACTAAGACCTATTTAGAAAAGGCAACATTAGAAAGATAATTTTTTTAAAAAAAGGTTCATTTTGGAAATATTCATTGTAATTTAACTGTTTCATGTTTACAAACAGCTTATGCACAACACTGAAGATGCCACAAGATTATGAGCTATTTGTTGGCAGGAAACCTGGCAAACACTGGCTTAAGCCCGTCAAATATCCTCTACATGGTGGGTGCAAAGAGAATCTTGGTAAACACATGAAAATGTAAATCACCCCAAAAAAAGGCACAGGAGAGGAGCAAGCACTTTAGGGGAGAAAAACAGAGAAGAAAACAAGATTTTGAAGCACCCAAACTGTCATCCCCATTAAACCTTGGCAGGTGACTAAAAGTCAGTCTATTAGCCCCTTCCACAACTTCAGTCTGCGAAACACTGAAGAGTGAGTGAGGGCTCAGCCTTCAGCTTTGTCCCTGGTAAAGCAGCTCCATTAAAGGGTGGCAAGCAATAGAAAGAACCCAATGACTAACCATTTGCATCTGTATCATGTTAAGAAACTTCATCCAGCCAAGTTGCATATTAGACTTTACAAGGGATGTAGTCACTGGACAATGGCACATTATGACTGCTTTTAACTATAGTCACTTTAAATATTGAGCAATGATGTTGCAACTTCAAAAACTACAAACTTTCTAGAGCCACTGAGGCCAGATGACCCCCGAAATTATTACCCTGAGGAAATCTTTAAACCTTGAAAACAATTATCCTCTGAAGTCATCTTTGAAGCAAATAATAGTTTAGCCTAATTAGAAACAAATGTCTGCATTAAGCACCATACTCTTTTAAGAAATTATCTATATGTGATCAAATTGACAATAGCAACTCGAAAACATAAATGAGAAGCTTACGGGGGCAGTGAGTTTGTGTTAATGGTGGTGAAACAGTATGAAAAAGATGTCGAGAAAGATGGCACACCTTGCAGAATGTAACCAATATCACTGAATTGGACAAGTAGAAATTGTTGAAGTGATGTCTGTTTTGTTGTGTATATTTTCACTAAAAATCTTTTTAAAAACTAGAAACTTAACAGTTTTCTTCTAATCACGGAGCCAAACACATGTAAATACTCTAACAGAAATAAAGCCCATCTTCAAGCCTCAATCCATTAAAAAAAAGAGAGAGAGGATGGAGATTAAAAGATTTATCCCTTGTCCACAGGTTCCCTACCCTCATCAGAATGGGAGTCAGGAGCCCTGAGTTCCTGTCTCAGCTTTGCCATTAAGAATCTGGGTGACCTTGGTCTCAAGTTTATTAACTCGAATAGGAACTAAAAACTTCGAACTACAACCAGGATGTACGCCCTGCCTGTGTTCCCCACCTTCTCCTTCCCCGGCTCCGCCCCTTTCTCCTCTGGTCCCATCATCTCGCTGATTCTGCGCATAGTCCCCGCCCTCTCCCGCCCGGCCCCTCAGCCCCCGCCTCCGCCCCAACTCGACCCGCCCCCTCTGGCCGATGGCCCCGCCCCCTCCGACCGAACCCACCACGTGAGGAGGCAACTGAGGCGGGAAAGTGGACGCTGGGGGCGCTGCAGAGTCAGGGGCTGCCTTCTGGGGTGCAACCGTGCGGGAGGACGTGGACTTCAGGCTTCCTGTAGACTGGAAGAATCTGCTCAAAACCGCCTGCCTTTCAGGGGCTGGACCGGCGGCACCAGCATCACCAGAGGTAGGCTTCCGGCGCGACATCGCGGGGCCGAAATGGCAGCCCAGGGGCAGGGCCGAGCCGGGAGCGAGAGGCCGCGGTCACAGTTCCCGGGCGTCCGCGGGCGCGAGCACGTCGCGACCCTGCCGTGCTGCGACGCGGAAGGCGGGGCCGGGGGCGGGGCCTCGTCTGCACAAATGGGACCAAGGAGGCGGAGTGGCCACAATTTCGCGCCAAGCTTTGCCGGGAATCCAGGTGTCCGGAGCGAGATCGGAGGTGTTTACTGTTGCTGTCATGGTTCGTCGGCTAAACTGCATCGTCGCTGTGTCCCAGAACATGGGCATCGGCAAGAACGGAGACCTACCCTGGCCCCCGCTCAGGTACCTGCCAGATTGGGGCTACCGAGGCTGGTGCAGGCTGCGAGTGATCGGGACACCCGGGTGGGGACGCGCCAGGCCAGCTTGCCACGGAGAGATGGGGAGGATGGGTTGGACTTTTGACCTGAGCTGACAGGAGGGCCGGTGCTACCCTCTGCATGACCAGTCCCAAAGGCTAAGTTGTAGGTTACCGTCCCAATCGTGCTGCACCGAGGCCTACTCCCCGCGGCGCCCAGGCCCAGAGCAAAGTCCGGGCCGTGAAGATCCTCCAGCGCACTGTTGCGCGAGTTACAGCTTGAGCCCACGGGGTAATGTTCTGAGTAATGCTGTGTTTCTCTGACTTGTAGGAATGAATTCAAGTATTTCCAAAGAATGACGACGACCACAACCTCTTCAGAAGAAGGTAATGTGGGTTGTTTTAACTGATTGAGGTTCGCAGGGTTCTTGCTTCAGGAAGTTTTACCAGTGCAAATTTTACTTAAGTGGTAAGTTTTCCATGTTAATCTAGGGCCTTTTCCCTTACCATTGATTTATGTGCAGTTTCCAGAGTTTATTCAAATTTCATTTTTTTTCTTTAACATTATGAGGGCTTGCTCATAAAATTCAGGTATTGGGCAAAACTGGCAGTTGGATAGAGGCTTATCTAACCAGAGATGTTAGGGTGGAAAAGAAACCATATAAAGAATTTGGAATAACCCCTGAAAGAGATGATAAGGCCTGAAGAAGGGCAGTGGAGAGAAGGACAGAAATCCAAGAAATTGTTACATGTTACTCCATTTGGAGATCTGGAAGTTAAAGGTGATGCAAAAAAAAAAACAAAACTAAACCCAGTGCCATCAAGTCGATTCCAACTCATAGTGAGCAGATAGGACCGAGTAGAACTGCCCCATATGGTTCCCAAGGAGCACCTGGTGGATTCGAACTGGTTAGCAGCTGACCTTTTGATTAACAGCTGTAGATCTTAACCACTACCCACCAGGGTTTCCAAAGGTGATACAGGAAGGCATCAAAGATAAATTAGGTTTTCACTTTAAGAGTCTGAGTGACATGAAAATAAAGGAAAACAAAAAGTGTTCAGTTGTGATGATGACAATTTTGAGGTGCCTGTACGACATCCAGGATAATGTCAGACGGTGGGAACTGCGTGAATACAGCCATTGGAGAAAAGAGGATAACCAAGGAAAAGAATATGGGGATGGAAGGAGACCCCATTTAAAACTTGAGAGACATCTGTAAACAGGGACGAGAGCCATAAAGTAAACTGAAACAATACCTCAGAAAGGAGCATATGCTGCAGAACTTTAACAGGACAGAGACAAGGCGCATCTATTTGGCTCTTAAGTCATGGTAGAGACAAGATGGAAATCCCCAGAAGCTAAAGAATCCTAAGTATGGTCTGGTAATATGAAAAGCATCCAGTTCCTGATCTGTTTCCCTGGTTTTCAGTAAATACAGTATTTCTTGGATGAACGAATGAGTACCAAAAGTGTCATTTCTTTCTCTCTGTCTTTGTCTCTCTATATATATGTCTTTCTCTCTCTCTTTCTATGTATATATATTTGTTTCTTTTTTCTTTTTTCTTTTTTTTAACTGTCTCCATATATCTTTCTCTCAGTACCTGCACTTTCATTGTTAGGCCAGGTCTGTATCATTTCCTGCATCAGAATCCCTCACCAATTGGCTCTATTTTTGTTCATAGTTCATACCTCCTTATTAAACGCCAAAAGCTCCACCATTGCAAATGCTATGCATGTTGTATAAGGGGTAACATGAATTTTTTTGTTTTAATTCTTAGAGGAGAAAAATACCCATATTTGGAAATAACATTTGGTTATGAATAGTAAAGTAAAATATAGAAAAATGCATACTCTTACCAGTTGAAGTTTGTAAATGTTAATGTTTTGTTCAAATAAAATAAAACTAATGCTGGCAACTTTTAAGGATACACACTTCTACATTGCCTTTGGTGATCTCTCAGGATGTATCAAGAATCATAGAAATGTTCATGTTCCTTTGATCCAGATATCTGACTCTCAAGGTCTTTCTCCCCTATGCAATTAAACCGAAAATGAAAGCTATATTTATAAAGAAGGAATCCCTGGGTGGCACAAACCATTAAGCGCTGGACTACTAACCAAAAGGTTGGCAGTTCAAACCCACCCAGAAGTGCCTCAGAAGACAAGCCTGGCGATCTACTTCCGGAAAGTCACAGTCTTGAAAACCCTAAGGAGCAGTTCTACTCTGCACACATGGGGTCACATGGGGTTGCCATGAGTTGGAATTGACTCGATGGCAACTAACAATATTTAGATGGTGGGTAGTAGATGTAAATTTTGGTAAATCTGTTTTAATTTTTTATGTTTTTAAAGCAGATCCACTAGATGTCACTGTAACAGTTTTACATATATATGTATATGTGTGTGTGTGTGTGTGTGTGTGTGTGTGTGTATGCATGATATAGTGAAACCTGTGAGAGCTGGAACTTCATGGGACTGCCTTGTTTTTCTGGGTCTCGTAAGTTTTCTGTCTTTGAAAGGGTGCAGTCTTACAACTTTTCTATCACTATTAGTGGAAAATACTTGAATTTCCCTTCTCTGACAGGTTTCTGGCTTTCACGGGTTTTACTGTATATATATGTGTACACATACCAAACCAAACTTGTTGCCATCAAATCGATTCCAGCTTATTGTACACATACACATATATACTATATGCAAATACATTTTTTATCAAAAAATATTCTTTCTATTGACTTTACAGGTAAACAGAATTTGGTGATTATGGGTAGGAAGACCTGGTTCTCCATTCCTGAGAAGAATAGACCTTTGAAAGATAGAATTAATTTAGTTCTCAGTAGAGAACTCAAGTAAGTACGATAATATAAATTTACTGCAAGAATATCGTGTCCATTTTCTTACAGTGGAGTTCAGTGTATGACAAAACGAAATAGGTGAAAAGTAGCTATTGATGAAGCTGCTTAATATCAGTAAAGTGATTACAGGAAATGAATGAGCAGAAATTTATGCCACATAACAGTAACTTATTCTGGTTTCATAACCTTGAAAAGTTACATTAAACATTAAATCTCATTATAGTAACAGATTTGGAAGTTTCTTTGAACCACATTATTCAGTAGACTCAAATATCAATTACACAGTATAGTTAATAATTTTTTCTAGTTTCACATAAAATGAAAATATGTATGTTTTGGGAGTAGTCAAAATTAAGTTATCCCCTCTCTGGGCGCAGCCCTAAATGCAGTAAGATGTGAGAATGGACTGAAACTGGTCAAAATTATGTGCTCTCTTATTCTTAGTTAACCGCAACACTCAAATTACACTTGTGTTCTTTACCCTGTGTCTAACAGAAAAAAATGTCTGAAATGGTCCTAAGGATCCTTGGTGAAGGGAGTGTGTTCAGTTGGTCTCTACTAGGATTTTCCTGTCCTCCTATCTGGCCTTGGAGTAGATAGTTCCAGATGCCTGGAAATGCATCTGTGGGATGGAGGTATTTAAGAGCATGTCAACGCTATTGTTTTGATCTTGGCCAAAGCGTCTATGATATTTATTCACATGTGATGTTCTCTGATTTCCTTTCTGTTTCTTTAAAAAAAAAAAAAAAAAAGTTTGTCCTAACCCATTAACTAAACCTTAGGGATTTTTTTTTTTTGGGGGGGGGGGGATGGAACTGAATTAGAGCTTTAGGAAAAGTCTGGGATTGGCATGCCAATTGTTCTTCCATACACTTACATAATCACAAAAAGGAATATAGCATCCTAGAGCACTACTTGCTTGAGAACAGTGGTCACAATATTCCTTTCCCATGTGTATCAATCAGGGTTCAACCAAAGAAGCAGAACCAGTAGAAGTCTATATTAAAAGGATTACTGCAAGGAATTAGCTTGCGCAATAGTGGGATCTGGCTAAGCAAGGGCAAAATCTGTAGGCTAAGCTGTCAAGAAGAGCATGCGGAAGCTCTTGGGCACAGGATAACACTGTTGTCCACAAGTGAAATTTCTTCAGGAAAGTCTGAGCTCTACTCTTCAAGGCCTTTCAACTGATTGAATCAAGCCTATTCAGATTATCTAGGATAAAGTCCATTATTTAAAGTTAACTAACTGTAGACTTTAATCACATCTACAAAATACCTTAACAACTTCTAGATTAGTGTTTTATTGAATAACCTAGAACTATAGCCTAGCTACATCAAAAGACCATCGTGGGGTGAAATTAGAAATTAATGACAAAGAAAACTGAAAAAAATACGTGGAAATTAACACACTGTTAAACAACCGATTGGTCAAGGAAGAAATCACAAGAGAAATTGGAAAACACTTAAGAGTTGAATGAAAATGAAAGTACAATATATCAAAACTTATGGGACGCAGCAAAAGCGGTGCTCAGAGGGAAATTTCTAGCTATAAGCTCCTAGATCAAAAAGGAAAAAAGATCACAAATCAGTAAGTTAACTTTACAATTTGAATTAGGAAAAGAAGAGTGAAGCAAACTTGAAGAACCAGAAAGAAGGAAATAACAAAGATAGACCAGAGATAAATGAAATAGAGAATGGAAGAACGAGAGAGAATCAGTGAAACCAGAAATTGGTTTTTTGAAAAGATCGATAACATTGACAAACCTTTAGCTAGACGACAAAAAAAATAAAAAATAAAATAATTTTTTTTAAAAGAAAGACCATCATACCATGTGAAGGTAAAAAGCATTCCACAGCCATAGACTAAGAGATTCAGGCTCACAGAAAAGATTTTCTCCCAAATCCCTCCTAGAATGGTATAGGTAAAAACCTGGAGAAAAGCGTACCAGAATATTTACATTGATGGCCTGTGGATGATGGGGAATATGTTGATGTGCATCTTGCCATCTGCCTCACTCTTAATGCTGTTCTCTTTCTTATGGTTGCTAGGATATTCGATTATCTCTTTACTTGGGAGAATCCAAATTCACAGACTATATTGCTATTCCCAGAGACTCTTTAATAGAATATTTTTGAATACTACTTAAGATTATTTATGGCCAGCTTGAGCTAAAAAAAAACATAAAGAAATCCCGGTAGGGGAGATGTTCAGTTGAGCCAGCAGTTCTCCTCAAATGATGAGTCTCATTTCTTCCTTATGACCCCCCTGTGGTGTATGTAATTGGTTTGGTTGCTTATGTATTTATATATAACATTTATTGGTGTGTTTCCCTTTTTTAAAAAAGGCAGAGAGAAAATTTAAAGTCTTTATCATGAAGTATGCCGAGAAACAGATATACTAGTCAATAAAAAAATTTTAGAGTTCGTTTTTTGCCCTTCCTTCTGCTTTCCTACTTGCTGGCCAGTTCCACACATACACTGAGCACCTGCTGTGTGCCAAGCACTGCTAGGTCCTAAATAAAAGGGCATGGGTATACATATGTAACTCGCTGTTACTTATGCAAGCCTTTTAGAGATAGCCAGTTTTTCCCACAGCCTCCTGAAATGTCAGAGAAAACTGAATCTTCAAGTTAACCCCAAAATCTACTGCCAAACACTAGTTAGTTTGGATAATTTACTTTCTTTATAAGATATGGGGTAAAATGCTTTTTGAAAACTTCCTAGATAACTATGTTGTGACTTTAAAAGAAATTTTATGAACCACGTTTGGAAAACAGGCATTTCCTCAAATTGTTAAACATAAAGTTATCATATGACCCAGAAATTCCACTCCTAAGTATATACCCAAGAGAAATGAAAGTATGTCTATACAGATACATGTACAGAAATGTTCATAGCAGAATTATTCATAATAGCCAAAGAGTGGAAACAATCCTCATATCCATCAACTGATGAATGGAGCAGCAAAATGTGCTAGATCCATACAATGGAATATTATTCAGCCATAGAAGAATGAAATATTGATACGTACTACAGTATTGGACAATAATTGAAAACATTATACTAAGTGAAAGAGGCCAGATACTGTATAATTAAATTTACATGAAATGTCCAGAATAGGCAAATCCATAGAGACAGAAAGTAGATGAGTGATTGCCAGGGGCTGGGAGTATTGGGAGGAAATGGAAATGACTGCTACTGGGCACAAGTTTTCTTTTTGGGGTCATAAAAATGCTCCAAAATTAGATAGTGGCAATGGTTGCACAACTCTGTGAATATATTAAAACCCCCTCAACTACCCACTTGAGAGTGAATTATATGGTATGTGATTTATAGCTCAACAAAGCTGTTTAAAAAAAAAAAAAGTCATTGGAACCAGAAGGGGAAAAACAAGTTTTACTGCTGTGCTGCAGCTTTGACTGCCTCTTTAGAAAACCCAAAGTTGTCTGTATGATATAAGATGTTATAAATTGTCTTCAGTCCATGAAAGTGATCTAAAATTTAATGGTATAATCACTTTTTACGGTCTCAACTAGCATATTCTCCATGGCGATTAAGATTTCTCCTCTTCTTCAAGCTACAGTTCCCTCCCCTCACATTTGGCTTAGCAAAGACTGCCTGACCTGGCGTCTGATACCTGCTCTGGCACGTATTAACTTTGTGGCTTTAGGCAGGTTACAAGCAAGCGTTGCTAAACCTCAATTTCCTTACCTGCTAAATGGGATTAATGATGACAACTTCTAGGAGTGATTTTGAGAATTAATTGAAATTTTATGTGCAAACTGTCTGGCACACAGAAGGTTCCCTGCAGATACCACTTACTACTCCCCCAGTCCCTCCTTAAAAAAAAAAAAAAAAAAAAAAGTGGCTATTGAGTCATTATAGACCCTATATGTGTCAGAGTAGAGCTGTGCTCCATAAAGTTTTCAGTGGCTGATTTTTAGGAAGTAGATCACCAGGCCTTTCTTCTGAGGTGCTCTGGGTGGACTGGAAGCACCAATCTTACAGTTAGCAGCCAAGTGCATTAACTATTTGAACCACCCAGGTACTCCTTAACCTCTGCTACTGTAGCAAAATTGCCTTGCCTTATAGCTTATAGCAAATATTAGTGATATCACCATGAGCGCTATAAAAATGACGTGGTAGCACCAGACCTCCTCTGAGTTCACAAGGGGGAAGAGAGATAATCAAGATCATCAGCCCAAAGCTGATTCCCATGAGGTGGAGGTCAGACACACCTCTACCCTCTAACCTTTTTACCAATTCTGACACCAGCTGTCCCCACAGCACTCTCTACTTCTCTGCTAGGTTCAATAATTCGATGCAATGGCCAAACAGAACTCATAGACTATACTCATATTTAGGGGATGGCTTAGTTATCTAGGGCTGCTGTAACAGAAAGACCACAAGTGGATGGCTTTAACAAAGAGAAGGTTATTCTCTCACAGTCTAGTAGGCTATAAGTCTAAATTCAGGGTCTCAGTTCCAGGGGGAAGCTTTCTCTTTCTGTCGGCTTTGGAGGAAGGTCCTTGTCATCAATCTTCCCCTGGTCTAGGAGCTTCTCAGGTGCAGGGACCCCGGGTCCAGAGGACACACTCTGCTCTCAGTGTTGCTTTCTTGGTGGTATGAGGTCCCCCGTCTCTCTGCTCGCTTCTCTCTTTTATATCTCAAAAAAGATTGGCTCAAAACACAATCCAATCTTGTAGATTGAGTCCTGCCTCATTAACATAACTGCTGCCTATGCCACCTCGTTAACATCATAGAAGTAGGATTTACAACACATAGGAAAATCACATCAGATGACAAAATGGTGGATAGTCACACAATACTGGGAATCATGGTGTAGCCAAATTGATACACATATTTTTGAATTCAGTCGATGATGGGATTTATTAGAGAAGTAACAGCTTACAATTCCGGATCAGGAACAACTCAGGATACAGTTCTTCAGTCAGGATAGCTTCTTGGCCATGCCCACAGGCAGTCCTCTCTCACAGCTCTTGGCCCCTCGGGTCCTCCGCCTAGCTTCTGCCCTGCTTGGGCAAGTGTTACAAAGCTCTTTAGCTCAGCCAGTAAGTGCTCAGAGGCACCCCACTCCACCAGTAAGCCTCAGCCTGAAGGTGCTCAGCTCTCTTGCTCCATAGGTTGGCAAGCCTAGCTCCACCAAGTGTCCAGAGGCACCCCACTCCACCAGCAAGCCACCTGCCCAAAGGCATTCGTCTCTCTCACTCGGTGGTGGCACACCCACTGTAGCCACCTTGCTGCATAGGCCGGGAAGCCTGCTGCACCATCTCTCGCTGGTCTCCTGGCTGGTTCTGCTGCAGCCATTTCTCTGCTGCTGCTTCTTGCCATCTCTGGTGTTAAAGCTCTGTCTGCTTGTTGGGTCTAGGAGGTTCTCAGCACAGGGACCCCGGGTCCAAAGGATGCACTCCGCTTCTTGCTTTTCTTGATGGTAGTGAGATCCCCTTCCTAGTCTCTGAAATTGGCTCATTTTAAGCCTAACAGGATGGCAAAACTGATCAATCCCCTTATTAGGGCTCCATGCACCTTATTTGCATTTTTAGCAGGCTGTCCAATCCCCTTGGTGAGTCATAAACACCTTATTTGCACAGCCCCACCCAGTCATTTTATGAGAGTCACAAGGACCATGGCTAGAAAGGCCATATTAAAGTAATTCACTGCACCGTAAGCACCTGGAACTCTCATTTTCACCTTAACAAATCCCTTTGTTCTTCCTGCCTCTACAATTTTGAGACCAAAAAATCCTCTCTAAATCAACTCTTTCCCACCCCTGGCTTTATTCTAGACTCCGTTTTTTTCTTTCCTCGGGACATTGCTTTGTTGTCCCACCCTTTAGTATTATAAACTTCACCACAGATTACATTACTTCTACACTCAGCTTTCTCAGCTAAGGAATATGCCAAGGAGTATTCCCTCATCATCCCGCCCCTGAGGATGCACCACCTCTGCCCCTGTGGCATCATCTGCACATCCCAATAGGCTGTCCTTTTCACACTTTATGGCCACTGCTAGGATATTTCTCTGGCTGCCACCACAATCTGTTTAGGGGCAGATTTTCTGTCTCTATTCCCACCATCAAGTATATCCCTCAGCAAAACAGAGGTTTAGAAATTTTCATGGAATGAATAATCCATGGGCGGTGTCTTAGTCATCTAGTGCTGCTATAACAGAAATACCACAAGTGGATGGTTTCAACAAAGAGCAGTTTATTCTCTCACAGTCCAGTAGGCTACGAGTCTGAATTCAGGGTGCCAGCTCCAGGGGAAGGCCCTCTCTCTCTGTTGGCTCTGGAGGAAGGTCCTTGTCATCAGTCTTCCTTGGTCTGGGAGCATCTCAGTGCAGGAACCTCAGGTCCAAAGGATATACTCTGCTCCTGGCACAGCTTTCTTGTTGGTATGAGGTGCCCCTGTCTCTCTGCTTACTTCTCTCTTATATCTCAAAAGAGATTGGCTTAAGACACTATCTAATCTTGTAGACCTCATCAATGTAACTGCAACTAATCCATTTTATGACATCATAGTGAGACAATATCCAACACATAGGGAAGTCACATCAGATGACAAAAGGTAGACAATAATACAATACTGGGAATCATGACCTAGCCAAGTTGACAGATATTTTTGGAGGACACAGTTCAATCCATGACAGGCGGTTTATAAAAATAGGATCATCCCACATAATACTACTTTGTAACCTGCCTTTTTCCCCCACTTCATATATTAAAACATATATTTCTGTAAATATCATTTTTAGTGGCTACATAGTATTCCTTTATGAGGATAGACCATATTTGAACCAATTTTTGATTGTTGGAAATCACATTTTTAAGGCTGAGTATGAAAGGCCTTAAATTGAACGTATAGCTAAATTCTAATTAAGATGCCATTCTCGCCTAGGGTTTTCTGTTTTTATTTCAAGTGTTTTCCCAGGGAAATTGAGTCAGAATTCTATCTGCCAAGCCATTCTCTTTTACACCAGACAAGGTAGAAAAGGATAATGTTTACATGGCACCCTAGTGTAATCAGATGAGGCTACTCAAGGCGAGAGAACACTGGTAAGAGGGCTCTGCCTAACCCAAAGGGTGAGAATCTGACACACCTGTAGCCCATGGCCAGTAGTTGAGTGTCTTACCTCTGTAACTAAGCTGCCTTTCAGGCTCCAAAGTAAAGCTGCTGTAGTTCAAATCCCAGCTCCACCATTTCTTAGCTGGGTGAGCATTAGATACTTAACTCCTCAGCCTCAATTTCCCCCTCTGTACAAAGAATACTAGTACCTATATAGGATTGCTGGTAATATTATATGTTTCATGTAAAACAATGCCTGACCCTACTACTTGGGGGAGCAAGTAGTCATTCAATAGCAGACTTCTTTAAATAGAGCTGCAAGGAAAGGGATGGGAAGTATCATTGGAGTGCCTACAATGTGTGTTATTTCTTTGCATCCTCATGCCTACCCTCTGAGGCAATTCAAATGACTCTCAGTCTGAAACAATATCAAGCATGTCCACCCACTTCTTGACACAGAATATTTGTGCTCCCGACTACCAGCTCTCCCTAGTCAGGGAATCTAGTCTGGATTGGTTGGAGATAATTACAGAAAGGAAATTTAGGGATAAAATAAGTCACAATATTTACTGTGCTAGTCTCTAGGACTTGTGCTCATGAACTCAAATATTCTCTCAACTTCTTGCTTATTTTCTACCCATCTAGGGGTCCAGAGTTTCCTGTGAAACTTATTTCTAAACTGCTAAATAATACTTTTTGCAGAAACACTTCATCTTTTTGCTATGACTGAAATCTGAAACAAATCCTTACTTCATTTTCCAGACTCACTACTGAAGAGCAAGAAAGTATTCTTCACCATGGTCCTCAGCCATTTTCAAGCCATTGTTCCACAATCTTCACAAAATTATTGCCCTATTTCCTTACAGTCCACACAAACCATTTATACCACCTCGAAATCTTATTGCTCAAATCCAATTTCTAGGATATTTCTTCAATTTTCTTCATGATACCAGTTCCTAAGTCACCATTTTCTATTCTACCCTGTCTCCTGACACCAGTCCTAACTCCAACATCTATCTTCAACAATCTCTATTACGAAAACCACATTGACTCTGTTTTAGTCATCTACCAGTTGTTGTTGAGTCGATTCCAACTCATGGCAACCTCAAGTGATTCAGAGCAGAACTGCACTCCATAGGGTTTTCAATGGCTGTGATTTTTCAGAAGTGGATTGCCAGGCCTTTCTTCCAGGCGGCTTCTGGATGGGTTCGAACTGCCAACCTTTCAGTTAGTAGCCAAGCACTTAACCATTTATGACACCCAGGGACTCCTCAGTCATCTTAGACTTTATTAACTAGATTATCTTCTCCCCTGACTACAAATCCTTGTTTTTTCTAGAATCAGTTCTCTCCCTGAACAGTCTAATCCAACCTAGTCACTACAACTGCTCTGATACCATAGGGGATCCCCTGGCTCGTTTAACTTTATCATGGCTTCCATGCCTTTTTCCAGCCATGAGTCAAACTATATTCTTTGCTCTATCCTAACTTTTAGAGAAGACAAAGAGTGAAATAAGTAAAATAATTACATATGTCAAAAGGGGGAGGAGGAAGCCAAGCAAATGAATAATCCCATTAATTCTTCATTAATCAAGACTTTGTTATAGGTACTAGTAGTTGAAAGGCAATTATGTAATTCTTTTTTTAAATACCAGGCAAAGAACTTGACATTGAATTGTAACTTCTATTTTACCTCTAATTACTATGAAAGCCTAGTTCTGCATGTTTCCTCATTTATAAGGGAATTGCACACGCGCACGCACACACCCCCCCCCCCAAAAAAAATGGAGGTTGGGAGAGATTGGGCTAGCGAGTGTAAACACTGAAATTAATTAACTTTTTCTCCTTTTGGATTGTTAATAACAACGGTAATAACATGCTCGTTTTTAAATATTTCATCCATTTCTGTATTACTTGAAGTATGAAAGCTCTTTATGCACTCCCCAAGGGTAACCACATATTGACAGTTTAAATATCATTCCAAACCTTTCCTACAGTCAAACATATCACTCTTTTCTGACGTTTTATCATGAAATTTTTCAAGCATACAGGAAGAATTTTACAGTAAACACTTACATACCCAGCTAGATTCTACCATTAGCATTATTTTACCATGCTTGCTTTATCACATATCCATGTTGTTTTTTTTGTGCATTTCAATGTAAATTGCAGACATTAGTATACTTCCACATACATATCATTACCTAGAGTTCAGTATTTCTTTAGAGTTTTCTTCTTTTGAGGTAAATTTATGTATAATGATATGCTCAAGTCTTAAGTGTCCATTTGCTGAGTTTTGGGTGGCTGTATAACCCAAACCCTACCTAAGCTATAGAATATTACCATTACCATCACCCTCAGACAATACTCTCATGCACCTTCCCAGTCAGTCCTTACCCCACCCCTCCAGAGACAACTACTGTTATGATTTTTTTTTCCACCATAGATATTACATATGTTTTTGTTTTTGCATTCATTGTGAACCATAAATACACAAACTTGGGTTAAATTATTGTCCATACTAGTGTTAAGTGCTTTTTTTTTTTTTTTGGCAAAGATTCTTATTTATGGTCATGTTAGTTTTATAATCACTGCTTCTTATTCAGATTACTTGTCTAGAATAAATGGGTTTCACAAAAATTATATGTAATTCTTTTTTTTTTTTTTCCCACCCTCAGGGAACCCCCACAAGGAGCTCATTTTCTTGCCAAAAGTCTGGATGATGCCTTAAAACTTATTGAACAACCAGAATTGGAAAATAAAGTGGACATGGTTTGGATAGTAGGAGGCAGTTCTGTTTACAAGGCAAGTAAAGTTATCCATAAATATAAAGGAACTTTTTACTTTCAGCTTCCCTGCTGTTAAAGGGGGGAGGGCATAACCCATTGTCTGAACCTTAAAAAATTCAGCCATGAGCAAAAAAAGCACATTATCCCTACTATAAGTTAGACATATTATCAATTTGAATTATTTATTGTTTAACTATCATACAAACTAAATAAAAATGTAAGTATTTTAGTCCCTACTAGTCTATTTTCAAGGAGCCTTGGTGGCGCACTGGTTAAGCACTCAGCTGCTAACCAAAAGGTCGTGGTTTGAACCCACCAGCGGCTGCGAGGGAGAAAAGACCTGGAGATCTGCTCCCATAAAGTTCACAGCTTTGGAAACCATATGGAGCAGTTTTACTCTGTCATATAGGGTCGCTATGAGTCAGAATCAACACGATGGCACACAGCAACAGTCTATTTTCAATTCAAAATAGTTGATGTTTCCAATTTAAAAACCATTCTAAATCCTTCCCTGAGATTAGTACTTCCTTCCACTGGACTGTTTTTTATTTCCTGAATGTCCCCTGGATACACTGAGGTACTCCTTTGCTTCAAAAATAAGTATGCTTCTTACTGAGAAAAGAATGGGACTGACAAGATGTATATGAATTTGTTAAAAGCAGAAAACTTCTTTTCAACAATTTTCATATAATGTGAGGGCATGGGGGAAGGGTCATAAGATTTCATATCATAAGGGAAATTGATATGTGAAAGAAAAGATATTCCTTTTTCTTGATACCAGATGACTTCCAGCTTTTAAGGATTATAAATAGAATTTGAAGATTATAAATAGAATTCTTTGACCCTTTTAAGACACCAATAAAGAATTAACATTTATGGGAAGGAAAAAATATCCTCTACCATTTGAGTGGTTGTGGTAACAAACACATTGAAATTATTTTAGATAGAAGAGATACATCGTAACCTTAGATGGGATTATAAAAACTCTTTATTTATTAGCTTCCTGTTTCTACAACCCTTCATTTTCCTCATTTGTAACAGGGGGAAATGGATATTTTTCTTTGTTCCTTTCAACCAAGTATGAATTCCTAAGAAAACAAGTTATTTTGTTCAATACTTACCACATTATAAATTATCTAGTATCACATTCACTTGAAACTGTATCCTTTAAAACAATATAATACTGAAATGCATTTATGTAATTTGATGCATTTGTATGTGTAAATAATAAAGAAGTATGAAGATGACGGTTTTGTACCTACCTCACACTAGAACAGCTTGTAGATCATTCAGCCATAATCAGGCCAAGTCGAGCCCACCAGCCTGTTTTTTTTTGTTTTTGTTTTTTAATTTTATTGTACTTCAGTTGAAAGCTTACAGAACAAATAGTTTCTCATGAAACAGTAGTACACATGTTGTTTTATGACATTGGTTAACAACCCCACAACATATTAACCC